ACCAGATATGAACAATGGATGCTGTATATTAAAAATGGACAAGCATACAGATTTGAATGTGTTCTGGGTCACCCCACACCTCCCAGCTGTCTAAATCATTGGGGCTGGTCACACAGCGCGGTGGAAATGATCAACGCCGGATCATGAGTTGTAGTTGGGCATGCCCTAAGTCAAGAACTGGACAATACGAAAAGCACTGTGGAAGAAAATGCTGTGGAGCACCTTGCAAGTCAAGATGAGCATCTTTCCAGTCAAGCATGCTTACTTAGCAACAGATCCTTGTGAACGATCTGAAGTGAATGGGCCTTGTAATGCATGAGTTTGTTGACAATTGCAGTCCACAGGGGCTTGTGTTTGCCTGCCAGCTTTTCCAATAGGTCTTTGGCACCTGCACAGGGCCGCCTGAGGGTTCCTTGGAAGACCAATGGGCGCAGCTAGACAGGGCTATGGAACTTGGCGTTTTGGAGTTTGCACCTGATGACGAGATAATTGGAGAGACGTTGTCATGCCAGTCTGAATTGCTGCAACAGATGACCGCAAATCGTGCAGCCACAGCCAGTTTACTGAATATGTTGCTTGAGCAGCTACCAAAGCTGAAGGAGGAGTGGAAGGAGAAGGAGGGGCTTGCAGAGGAAATCATAAGTGCTGTAGAGGTGGGCATGTTCTGTTGGCTGCTGCAAAGCCAACATCAGTATGACTCTGTCCTGTGCTGGCAAATGTCCAGTGCATGCACAGCCTGGATTTTCAAGCCTAGTTAAGGTCCACAGTGTTTGTATGCAAAAGGAATGCAAAAGGAAGTGAAAGAGAAATAGATGACAAAGAAGAAGATGAAAAGAGCACAAAAACACAAAAGTTCAAGTGGAGATCGTTGTTGTGGTGCAAAAGAAACATTATTGGAAGGTACTGGTCATGATGCTGGTCTCGATGCATTTGAGGGCATTTCATCTTGCTTCACTGGGTTTTGCCTTGCTGCAGTTTTAGGCAGTTGTTCCATCAGGGATGATGCAACATATTCCATGCAATGGGTCATACATTTCACCCCTCCTGACTGCTTGCTTAAGCTCTTTTCGACTTGTTGATGTAAGGTTCATGCTGCAAGCCAAGAGCTCTTAAGGCAGCTTGGGTTTGAGGTTGACAGCTAATGAGAGCTCAACACTTCTAAGAAAATAGACTACAGCAATAATTGGGTGCCATTTCTTGTCCTTGCTGTCAACGCTGAAGCCAAGCCAGACACAAGAGCAGCATGGTGACCCAGTTTGAATGCAATCAGTGGTGTGGTGACGGACATGCCAACACCAATTGGCACTCTTGGCGTGCATTGTATACTAAAACACAAATGAACTTTCACAAGATGAAAGTTCTGGTCAAGGAACAAGTGTAGAATACTTGCTCAAGGCAGCACAATGTTGACAAAAGCTGTGAAGATGTTACAACCATGCACTAAGTACATTCAGGCCCGGGAGCAACTAGGCTATATCGGGTTGACAAAAGCTGTGAGCTGCCCAGGACAGTGAAGCAACTTCAGCACATGCTTACAGCTAGACTTGGAAACCTTGGCTTTAGTGGCTTTGTACCTTTTCCATGGATCGCAAAGAATGTACAATACTGTGACAATTTCATGCAGATTCCCACATTAATGATCTGAAATATTTGAGTTTTGCAATTGCCGCGCATTATGAAACAATGCTCATGAACCGAATATGGAAACAGCAAGCAGAGTTGTTTGCTGAGATCGTTGCACAGATGACTTATCGACGGCCATGCCTGCAGGCGATCAAAGAACTGAAGGGGATTCATGTCCACAAGGGGATAGAGGCGAAGCTCGATGGGCTCATGGGAGCGGCACGGGAGGCAGTAAAGATCAGGAGCCCAAGGCCCTCACGGCCTCCTAGGAGAATCTACGATGAAGACTTCAAGACGCCAAGCTTTGGAGCCGGCCGTCGGGATCAATACCTCAAGGAAGAGGAGGTTGACGAATGTGTAGATCCCCTTGCTGAGAGGTGAAACATCGTTAGTTATTGATTGCATTATTGTGTCAGTCCTTGGTTTTGTTTGCATTTGATGATGTGCATTCCACAGTATTGTATCGCATGTTGTTGCGCCATATTTGTTGCACACAAAGAAGCACTCTCAGCTGGAGAGTGGTGGTTGTGTTTTGTGTTGGCTTCTGCAGTCCTGTTTGGCCTTCAGTTGGCAGCTTGTCAAGTCCATTGATTCGTATCACAGTGTGGAAAGCAGTCAGGAGCCACTGCCAGCCATCAGAAGACTGGTAGCTGCTTTGCCATCATGAAATGATGTGAATGTAAAATATGCTGAAACGAAGGAAACGAAAAAGCATAGTAAATAGAATAAATGACAGCAAATTGAGCCATTGAAATGGGCCATGGGCACAAGCAACTCAACTGGGGACTTGCCGCAAGCAGGCAATGCACTCACTGAAGATTTTCAAGCTGCTGCTGAAACTGGATGTTCAATGTGCTCCAGGAGGATGGAAGGCGAGGCAGAAGATGCAGTGTGTGCAGTCTGTGGTCAAGGCCACTCAGACCCTCCCAATGTCATTGTGTTCTGCGAGCGCTGCGACCTTGCAGTGCACCAGGAGTGTTATGGTGTCACAGACATCCCACCAGGTGGGCATCCAGACAAAAGCAAGAACTATTAATTTTTCAGTTCAGTAGCTTGTGGTATTTGCATTCATCCATGTCAACACGCTTTTGCACCATTTGTCACCAGCGAATGCAATTGTTGAGTTATGACGAATCGCCATTTGTTGGGCATCGTTATGTTGGGCGCAGTCCTTCTGTGGCAAAAGGAAACCTTTGGTGGCTTGTTGCTTCTGTTCTCATTTCTTTCTGCACGAAGGCCACGATGCAGCTCGTTTCATTTACTTTTTTTTGCACCACACATGGTGTTCAACTGTTTGCTGATTTCGTCACTGAAGAAAATCTGAATTTGACGAACAGCAAAAGTGGTCCTGTGCACAATACAGTGATGTATATCCAATTGCAGCATCCAATGGTGTTAGTTGCAATGTGGTGCCAAATGCCTTATATAACAGAAGATGCCAGAAGACTCAGTGGCCTTCACCTCAGTTGGACAAAAGCACCGATGAGGCACTTTCCCTTGTCAGGAGATGATGCAGATGCCTCCAACTGCAACAAGTAATGCAGCAAAGCCACATGGTGTGCTTCGGCCGGGAATTGTTGCAGATTTCATAAAACATACATTCACGGAAAGACAGGAAGATGCTGTTGCTGGATGTGTGGAATGACCACGTCTGGTGTGCCAGGTGAATGGCTATGTTGGCCATGCAAGCTTCATGAAGAGGCCTTGGTCAGGGATGGTGTTCCTCAAAGGGAGATCCGCCCCCCCCGGTATGAGCTTAATAGCCAGGTGGACAGGTCAAAGTTTATGGAAGGCGGTTCCCGAGCCGTGTCCTGTGCATTGTGCCCTGTCAAGCTGGGAGCATTCAAGAAAACCACAGACGGCGAGAGCTGGGTGCATGTGGTGAGCACACATGGCCCTTCCCGTACGCTTTGCACAGTGTACTGGCTAACGTACTGGCCAGGTTTCCTATTGCTGTGACATACTGCTGGGCTGGCGTGCGTGCCCAAAGGTGCTTCTGTGATGGAATGACAGCCTGATCTGGGCTGAGATTCCTTTGCTCTTGTCCCTATGCAGTGCTGTGCAATCAATATGCATGGCAACTAGTTTGTATTATTGGTAATCTGCTTCTCTGCTTCCACCTGGCACCCACAGAAGCCGCAGTGCAATTCCTTTCAACCCCAGGTGTGGGTCGCCCATTGTGGATGTGTCCAAAAGGGAAATAGCAGCAACACCTCCTGAGATTGGAGCCCCAACTGCTGTGGCTGTTGCACCCTGCCACTCGTGCAGGCCCGCACTGCACAGGTGTGGAAAACACAGGCCCACTAAGGGGCTGGGTTCCAAAAGTGTGGAGCTCTGCTGAAAGCTTCCAGCATAGAGGGATGTGACTCACTAGGATTTTTATGCTTGAAGCAATTACTTGACAACAACAGCAATGACTTCAACCTTCATCCAATCCATCCCACGCTGCCCTTTGCATGAACTGGAATCCAGCTGCTTGCATTCGCTTGAGTTGAGCTGACCCTCTTTAGTGTTGTGTGTGTGGGCTTGTGGTATTGTCGATTGGTAGGCGTGAGGGCATTGTTTAGTCCCCCATTTGCTTGTGTGAATGTAGGATAGCACAGTATATGGCCTTTGCAGTGTTCACAACAGCTATATGGACATGCTATGAAGTGGAGTCGCTGCTTTATGGATGTTTGATCGATGGGTGAAGTCTGCCCTGCAGGTGTGTGCCTTGTGGCATCAGCAAACATCCCTGGTGCCTGAAAACACTGTTCTGGCAGTCCAAGGGCTGAAGGACATACCCAAACAGCGATGGAGTACAAAGTGTGACGTATGTGGCAGTGCACAAGGCGCAACGGTGAAATGCGGGCACACCAACTGCGGCTGCTCGTTTCACCCCCTTTGTGCCCGAAGAGCGGGACTGCTCTTGGTGATGCGACCCTCCACTCGTGCTCCTTTTCGGCCTGCCTGCAAGTTGTACTGCAGGTGTCACAGCGACGCACATCAGAATCGTCAGGCCAACGCCCTTGATGCTGTCAACGCTTCTTTGCACAAGGTAATGCCAGTTTGCCCACTTTGCATTCGGCAGCAAAGGAAAACCATGCACCGGAAGGATGCCAAAGAGTTCATGTTGGCCCCAGCTCGCAGACGAGCCACGTGCGCACGCCATCGTGCAGCCCTGCAGACCTGACCGTCTCTGGTTTGGATGGCTGCCGCAGGCCAAGCAGGTGCCCGTTGGCAACAAACTGGACTGCATCAGGGCCTCCGATTCGATGCTGGAGGATGGTGTCTCGGAGCGTGAGGGGGGCAGCGTGCGGAGCAGGGACAAGAAGTCGGTCCGGGCCCAAAGGCACGGCGAGCTGCCCGGCTCGAGTCCCTCCACGTCGCAGCCCCACCTGGCCCTCCTGACGGGGGAGTCGCGAAAGAGGGCCCTGGAGGCGCTCGCCGCCAAGGAGCGGGACCACGACCACATGTCCCAGCTGAGGTACAACCTGGAGTGCGTCCGCCTGCTGGCCGACCAGATAAAGCGGCGCGAGCGGCTGAAGGCCAGCCTGCTCGGCGCCAGGTTCGAGCGCCTGCGGGCGATGGAGGCCGACCCCGCGAAGTACTGCCACGGCGAGTCCAGCCAGGCCCTCAGGCCCGGGCCCCACTCCCTGGGCACCGCCTCCGCCCTGGCCAAGTCCCGGGTCACCGCACCCAGGTCCACGCGATCCGCGTCGATCAAGAAGGGCCCCAGCGGCGATGGGCTCCCCAGCATGAGCGAGGACGCCGTGTCCGACGCCCAGACGGCCAGGTCTAAGCAGGGGGCCCTGGGGGCCAGGCACGACGGCCGGAGGGGCCCCAAGGCCCAGGGCCGTCACTCCGCCAGGCCCCCGGGTGGCAACCTCGGAGCCAGGGTTGGCTCCGGCGAGCCCAACAACAGGTCGGGATCGATCCAGAGGGGCAAGGCGCGCTCCGCGCAGCGCCCGGGGCACGGGGACAACAGCGCGGGCCCTTCAGTCCACGGCGGCGGCAGGCTCGGGGCCCATGGCATGTCCGACGGCCCATCGGAGGAGCACGCGGGGTCGCAGAGCGCCGGCGGCGTGCTGAAGAAGGCCTCCAAGCCGGGCAGGAAGCCTGATGCGATGCGCCTGCCAGGCGAACGCTACCTGAACAACGAGGAGCTGCAGAACCTGAACACGGAGCTGCGGCCGCGGGGCTACGCCTACGTCAGCGTGGACCAGATCCGGACGCAGGGCCGGCGGGGCAGGGAGGGCGGGGGGGCCGTGGAGCGGAGGTGATGGACCACCCCTGGGGGGGCCGCCCCTTGCGAAACAGGGCCGGCTGGGGGGCTGAGGTGTTTGTCCGGGAGGGCGGCGCGTTGTTCATGGGCGGGCGCGGAAATGCGGTGATCATCCGACGACCGGGTCGTGTGCCGGTTAGGGGCCGTGGCCTCGGGTTCCTGGCGCGGAGCGCGCTCGCGGCCGCGGCAGGGTGCGAGGGCGCCGTTCGCGCGCAGGGAGTGGGCACAGTGCCCAACACCGTGCAATTTTGTGCGCCTCCTCTCCAGGCACGAATGTCACGAAGGACCCTGTAGCGGGGACTGGAGATGCGGCTGGAAACGAGGCGTGTCGTGTCTGGAACGGGTGTGAGGTGGCTCGGTGCTTCCGGGCCGATGCACAGGAGGGGGGGCAATAACTTGGGGCTGGGGTACTTGCAGACAGCGCGTAGTCTACTAATTTATGTAAGGTACGAGTAGGAGATGATGTGAAGCTCATGTAAACAGGCATTGCAGAGATTTTGAGGAAGGCGGGGGGACGCGGGCATGGGTTTTTCTCGCCGTGCGCGGGCTGGTGCGCCACTGGCGGCCAGCAAAGCGCAGAAACGGCGGCGGCTGTCGCACTGCTGGTCAAGACACTCTCGAGAGACGCCCAGGTGGTCGGAGCTCGTGCCCGTTGGCTGTGACAGACCGCTTGTGACGCGGTGGGCGCTCTCTGCGCACAGACGCGGACCGCGGACGTCCAGGGCGGCATGCAACGGACCCATGCTCTCAGGGGGCGCGCACTGCCCCGCTCATTGGCGAGAGCCCCATTCACTGGCGAGAGTTCGCCCATCCTGCGCAGCACCCGTCCGTCTCGAACCGCGTTGGAAAACGAATGAACATTGAAATCGGAAAACGAATGAAAATTGAAGCCGAAGATTCGAAAATTAGAGGTTGCAGCGTGGCGGGACGCCTCCCCAGCTCCCCAGTACTTACGGCGCTCCACCAAGGCAGCGCGACGTTACTAACGTGCTCCCTGTTCGGCCGCTGCCCGCTCCAGCCCTGACGCACGACGCCAAAGTCGTCTCCAGACACAGGTGCGTCGCGGGGGCGTCGACCCAGAGGGGCCCTCCGCTTCCCCTTCCCCGCCTCTTCTGCCACCGCCGGTACCTCCCCCGCGGCCTCCTGGATTGCCTCGTCACGAATCTCTCGACCTCGGTGCCTCAGGTCGCCTGCTTTGTGCAGGTTTTTGCTACAAACCCCCGCACTCTCCGCCCCGGGCACTCCCGCAGCCATGGCCGAAAGGAGGGTCTCTCTGCCCATCTCCAACAAGCGAGGTGCGCCGCGCCCACCCCCCTGCCGCCATCTCAACGCCGTGCCCGCGTTCGCGCCTCGCAGAGATCGGACCGAGACAGCAATTGCGTCTCGGCCGCTTTCGTGCCCCTCAGAGCCCGCCAATGTGGGCGCGCACACCCTTGTCTCGCGATCCGTTTGGGCGCGTGCATCTCGGCCAAGTCCTGAGCCGCGGGAGGCTGTGGATCGCGCAGTGGAGGACATCCTGATGTGGCGGGACGTCCAGAAGAGCGGGATCATCTTCGGCAGCCTGACGGCGGGGTACCTCGTGCTGGAGTGGAGCGGCTATAGCATGCTGTCGCTGCTGGCCTACGCCATGCTCGGCATCCTGGGCGGCTTCCTCGTGTGGACCAACGCCGCGGCGCTGCTGAAGAAGTGCGCGATGGCGCGGGCCGGCGAGTCGCCGCCGATCATCCTTGTCTCGTGGCGCCGATCCGCCTTGCCTCCCCCCGCGGACTTGCCTTCCTTTACGACTTTTTTTCTTGAGATGCCGATTTCCTTGTCTATTGAGTTTCTGAAGCTATCTTCACAATGCACAGCGCAGCCCCGCCTCCTTGCGGGCGATGACCGGCATGCGGGCATCCGAAGCGGTGTATCCGCCGTTTGTTGATTTCCCGCTTGCGGCCCGTCTGCAGCGCGTGTAGGCCGTGGCCGATTGCCTGGCCTCGTGTCCGAGAGGGCGGTATCGTCCACGCATCTTTGCAGCGCATTCTTTGGGCGCATGTTTCGAAGAGTGTTTGCACACAGCCTTGGGGGTGTGCTGGAGTCCAAAGGAAAATTGTCTAAAAGTCGATCGTCATCAACGGCCAAAGTCCAAACTGATCCTCTGCGATCCGCAATCGTTTCTCGCATCCTTGGCGCATTGGGCATGGGTGACAGCATCCGACTAGGTAGCATTGGCATTCCCAGATTTGTGCATTGGCATTCCCAGATTTATGCATTGGGCAAAGGGTTTGCAATTATGTCAAAGTGATGCTCGTTTGCACTCTGTGTGCTACTTGCAGCACTCCAAGATTACTGCTAATTCAATGCATGGATCACTTGTGTCTTGTGGCTGTTGATAGGCCACCAAATCAAACACTGCAGTCACAGATATGTGTCTGGTACATGGCCACCAGCACAGGTTCATGTCATACACACGACGCGTCGGATCTTGCATGAGCTCCGCAGTGGTGTCTCCCGCTGACTGTTGTTAGGCAAGCGAGATTGCACAATAATTTGTGTAGGCAGACGATTGGAACACTGCAAGGCCAAGTGGCTGGCAGTGTGCCTTGGGGTAATTGACCGGCATTTCTATGTTGAGAACTGGCTACAGCAATCACGTTGACTGCGCAACAGAACTTTGCATTGTTGTCATGGGTAGCGTAGCCTACCAGGGCTTGCTGAAGACAGCCCTGGCTGATGGGATGGGAATTGTTGAATAGGTTGAGATGGATGTTGATAGATCTGTGAATGTTGCGAGCAGTGGGGGCAACCGAACACGTGGCGAAGTTCACTGGTGGCAATGAGAACTCTCTGTGGATGGGGACAGTACATTAGAGATATTCTTCGAAGTATTGGTCTGGTTGGGTTGCTCTTTACTTTCTGTTGGAGTGCTGCATCGCCACTGGCTGGCCATATGCGGCCTCACAGAATGAAGTGGGGGACAAGCACCACAGAATCTTGTTGTAACGGCTGGTGGAGTGCCAACAGCGGTTCGAACGTGCCTCTCATCAATGCCCTTGGTTTGCCTCCAGGCCTGGTCCTCCGATCCCCAGCTTCGTCAAGGACGGAGTTTCAGACGATGACATCCTGAAAGTGGCCCAGAAGTTGACGCCTGCCATCAACGATGCTCTTGGTCAGTGGCCAGGCTCTGTGCAGCAACTTGTGGGCATCGCCCCTCCTTGCTACATTCCATGCTTTGAATTGGCTTTTGAAAGCCAAAGGGGAAAGTAGATTCGGCCTGGTCCAAATTGAGGTTCAACCTAGTCCAAACTGAGTTTCGACCTAGTCCAGCCATATGGAGCACACATGTCTGATGCCCTTCATTTTTGGAGATGATGGCCATGAAAGCTGTATGATTTTCTGTTTGTGGGCTTTTAGGTTTTTAATGTTTGGTGTTTGGGGGTTTACGGTTTATGATTTCTTGTTTGCAGGATCAAACCTCATTTTCGACTAGGTTGTACCTTAATTCGGACTAGGATTCCCTATGCCGAACGTGGACTGGATTTAACCTCAATTTGGACTAGGTCTAGACTCTACCTTAAGACAAAGTGGGGACCTTGCATAGCAGGTTGTGTACAGCAGCGGGGATTGTCTCCATCTTGTCGTCTAGTTCAGTGCTTGCTGCCCAGCAACCAATTTGCATCTGCATGCTGTCGCAACTATTGCATATGTGGCTCTTCATGCCGCCCATTCAAGTGCACCTTGTCAATTTGCAGGCGTCGTGCACAGGACGATCACAGGGGCAGATATGGTGCTGGCCGCAAAGGTGCGTTCAACTCAAGTCCGGATCCGTTCTTTGCAACTATTTGTCGACATGGATGGCCATGCTGCCTCCCTTGTTGCATTCACTGTGCTGCTGGGAACTGTAAACAGCATGGCTTCCTGTTGCTGTGCCCCGACCTTTGAGATGTCCTGCAAGACAATGCACATTGCTTTTTCCGAACCGTGGTTTGCGTATCAGACTTGTGCAACCTGTGCAATGGTGCGGATGTTTTCCCACTCCAAGCAGAAGAAATGAGCACATGTTAACGGCCAACTCAATAACACAATGAAGTGTAGAGTGGCTGTCATCCTAGTCGATTGAATATGTCACTGCCAAGCAGGGTAATGTCAGTCCACATGTAGGCTCGATCGACCTGTGAATCCGCGTTGTTCAATTGGCTCCCTCCAGGTAAGCCACTGCCATATTCTAGCCACAACCATGCTTGGATTGGGATTTTGTAACCGCCAGAACCTACGCGTAACGCGTAACGCGTTGATGTTCTCAACGTTGATGTGGACTGATGTGGCCAATCCACCAGCTGCACATGTGTCTCCAAGCGCAACACGACCCATTAATCAATCTACAGTCAACACAGGAGAGTTGTGATGGGGATTTTGTTGCAAACACTGGAGCCCCTCATGGCAAAATCGCTGTCCAGCCAAGTCAGCTTTCACATGTTTGTCAAAACATAAATGTGATGTAATACTGTGATGCAATTACTCTGGAATCAACGCAAAAGTGGAGGATGGTGTAGAATTGGGAAAGGCACTGTGCACATGAGAAGGGCAACACCATGAGAATGATCCTCCCGCAATGATTCAGCCTTCTGTTGCACGAATGCTTAATCCAGCAAGTTGTTATCTACTTCGCTCGTTGCATTGAATGGCGAATCAGCAATAGCGTGGTGTCAATTGTCGCACCGGATTGTTTCCTGGACGCGAGCACTAGGAAAAAAAGTGCCAAATAACACGTGTTCAAACGTGCACAAAGTTTACGGGTTTGGGGTTATTTTTGTGTTCTTGGCGTGCAGAACTTGGATAAAATGTTTTTTGTGTGCCTTAGGCAAAGTGTTTTTTGGTCCTTTTTTCGCTAGTGAAGGCAACCTGGTGACACGCATTGGGTACCCAATCCTCGTCAAGATTCTTTTCCATACTTGCGAATTCCCCCCATATGCAAGAAGGAACGCGAAAATGCAAAAACAAAAAACACACACACAAAAAAAAATGCCAAGCACAGCTAGAGAAACATCCACGCAAGGGGTCCACTAGAGCAGTGGCTGCATACCACTGTGCAGCGTACCATTGTCGCAGTCATGGATCACGTTTGATTGTATTTATTCGTAATTGAGGATGCTTAATTATGCTTTTGCTGTGCGCATCAACGGGCGTACGCTGTAGCTATGGCGAGACCGTCCGCTTTGTTTTATTTGCCGAAGTGTGAGGAAATTCTGCGAGCCAAGCAAACCGGGAAAATGCTGCAGGTGTGTGGAGCTCTATTTGTCATCGCGAAGATTGGCGGCTGCTTCTCACTTTTCACTCTGTGCTACATTGGTGAGTGCCAAGTGAAAGCCGTGCGCCTTGCTTAGCTTCTCATCTTGCCTTGCATACTTATGCGTTATGTATTAGTAATACGTAATACACTGTGTTGTTCTATTCCCTATTTTCGAATTGGAGTTCAAGTGCTGGGATGCCAGTCAATGCGTGTTCTTGTCCGATCCTGAAAGATGGGGGGGGGGGGGGGGATAATGTAGAAACCCTAGATGCCAATTCGGCAGGTGCTGCCAAGCTCATCGCTGTGTTCCCGCTGCTGTCGATCTGACCACGTCTGGTGACATGCGTTTGCACATCAACGCTCGCCAGCTGTTTCACGGTGTCCACAAGACAAGTGGGCAGCGGGAAGGCCGATTCAACAATTTTGTTCAGCCGCTTTGAACCGAACTGATGATGGTGTTCCGGTGCCCCGGGCGTGGGTGGCGAGCATGTTTGAAAGCGCCACCCAACCCACCCAACTGCATACATGCGAGTGATACATAAACGTTGTGTTTTCGAGTATCAATTAACGAAGTGGCCCGACAGCTGCCACTGACACCACAGCTGCCTGGGTGTGTTCATGATAGCTGGTAGGACGAAGGCAGGTCCATCACTGGGCTTTCCCGCACTATGTGAGCATTTTGAAGCGCACATAAATTGTGCAGAAAAAGTGCAGATAAATTGTGAGCTTTCTGACGTGCTGGACGCGCAAGTATGCTGAGTGGGAACCAGATTAATCGATCCGTGGCCCTTCCCTTTGTGGGCAAGCGTGCCGCTACAAAGCCAGTTGCACGTATGCCCAGTGGTGTGTTGGAAGGTGTCCAATAGTTTGTTGGGCAGATCTGTCCTCAGTGCATGCCGCGCTCTCAGGGCCCTGTTGGTCACGATGCCGTGAGTAAATCACCCCCAATGGCCTTGCGTGCCCGCAGGCGTTCTTGCCGCGTTTGCGCTTCCCAAGGTGTACGAGCTCAAGAAGGACGAGATCGACGGGGCGGCCGCCAAGGCGCTGGAGCAGGCGAAGACCCTGTACTCCAAGGCCGAGGCCATGGCCAAGCAAATCCCCAAGGCGCGGGCCACGGACAAGAAGACCGAGTAGGCGGCACGGGCTGGCGGCTGGCGGTGTGCGCCTGTGGGAGAGTGGCGAAGGAGAAATGCGCTGTGCTCAGCAGAATGGATGCCACTGCCTTCGCCATGCGAGGCGGAGCCCTTGTGCCTTTCAGGCGGCGATTCCGTCAGTGTGGAGAAGGCGCTGCCGGCGGTCAGGATGCTGCTGCGGTGGGTTGTGCCGTCTCGCTGAGGGAATTGGGACGGGTTGGGTGAAGTCGAGGTGGACTAAATGTGGGGGGAGGGAAACTTTTGGCTCGGGGAGTGTGGCTGGACCTTGGGGCCCGGGTGAGACCGGTGCTGCAATGAGTGGACGCTGTCATCAAACTGTATATGTCTTCATGTACGGCTTGGAGGAGTATGGCATCGCTTGACGACGGAGGGCGCAGATGACCAGAATTGCTGTTTTGGTCGCGTGTCATGCACAGGAGTGTTCATCATCAACTGTTGCAGCACAAGGCAATGAGGTAGCCGTCAGCTTCCTATTTTGCCCTAGCAAAGCAGTGTCTATGATCAGTTCATTAAATCTAATGTGTACAAACAAAGTCTATGAATTTATTAACCCCTAAAGCCGAGAAGCGACTTTCGGCCATAATACATCAATGAAGTGTCCTCGCCAGTTGGTGAGCAGGAACCGAAGCAAAAGGCGACTTTGCATTGCGAAATCGCCAGACAAGAGTGGTTTCGACGGATGTTGTCATAGGCCTGGCGGTGTACAGGAGTGTTGGCTCACAGGTGTCAATCTAAATGGTGCCATTCCGTTTTGGTGATGGATCGGAACGCTGATTTGCGACCCATCGCCGGTGGGTCTTCCTGGTCATCGGGGCCGGCGATCCAGGTCGACAAGCGACGCCAGCCGATAGCAATACAGGCGTGCGCTCTGCAGCACATGCATGACGTTGAAGATGCCAGAACACGAGTTTGTCCCTTTGTGTTTGCGGGGGCCAGCGGCTGGATGATTTCTGTGGGAAATATCGTGGGACAATTCAGCGCGGCCACAGGCTTTTTCAATTCCAAGATAGTATAAAAGAGGAGTGTAGGCTTCTTGGCTCTAATCGATTGGGGGCGATCGCATAGTTTGTCAGTGCCATGAGCCTGCACTTCCCGCCACACGTAAGTTGGACGTTGATTGCGACAAAATCTGAAGTGTCGCCCCTAACATCAAGCAACAATCTCATCAACTTCACCAATATTTATATTTCTATTCGGGAAGCCGTGCAATCGCCGCCCTTAGATCAATCAATGACGACAATTTACATTTTCAGCTGGGGTCTCACCCCGCTGGTTCCCCCATTCTGCTCATGAACAGCACCGCCTGAGAGAGCGGCAAGGCACGACGAATTTGCCCAAACTTCTCGCTCCCCATGGCGGCGACCTGAACAAACCCTGTCGCACGAGCACGCTGTGAGCGGACTTATGCCCGTCGTCGCTTGCAGTTGCAAGAGCTGTGATTCCCCGGGTGGAGCCAAGCGCCACCAAAAGGACAGCCTCCGCACGCTGTGAGAGCGCGTTCCCAGGAGACTCTCGGGAGCGCCACACAGAGCTTGCGTCCATTGCCCCAACATCGCCGGCTCGTCGAACGGGGATCGCCTTGCCATCCCGTGACAGCGTACGATCGATGGAAAGGACAGCCATTGCGACTCGCAGAGCGTGTGGCTCACGAGCTTTGTGCAATGCGAATGCGCCCCTGGCGGCGGGTCTTATTGTACAGACGGTACGTATTCGTACGTCACGGGCACGGCCTCCACCATGGATTTCAGGTCCCAGTCCAGGCCCTCCTCCTCTGGGTCCGCCCTCGGCCGGGGTCTGTACTCCGGCGCCTTGGCCTCCCGCAAGCTGCACCACTGGATCCCCTCAAAGAAGGGGTGCGCCTTGACCTCCGCGATGTCATCGGCGCCCAGCCTGGCGCCCTGATCGGCCGCCAGCAGCCCCTCCACCAGGTCCCGGGCCACCTCCGGGAAGCCCTCCGGATAAGTCAGAGCCCTGTTGGTTATGTTCTGGTAAGTCAGGTACTCGCTGCCTGCCCGAAAGGGCGGCCTGCCCGCCAGCATCTGGTACACCGTGCAGCCCAGGCACCAAAGATCGGTAGCAAAACTGACGCGCGTGTTTTCGAGCACCTCCGGGGCGAGGTAGTCCGCCGTGCCCACAAACGACACCCTCCTCTTCTCCCTCTGCAGTCTGTTGGGCGACCGGCCGCCGCCCGCGGCCGGCTCCCCCTCCCCGCCGTCCCTCAAATCCTTCACGCATCCGAAGTCGATCAGCTTGACGTGCCCGGCGTCCGTGAGCAGCAGGTTCTCGGGCTTGACGTCCCTGTGGATGACGCCCGCGCCGCGCAGGTACTCCAGGATCAGGACGACCTCCGCGGCGTAGGCCCTGGCGGCCTCAAGGTCCAGGGTGCCCCGCGCCTGGACTTGGTCGAACAGGTCCCCTTGGGGGCAAAGCTCGAGGCCGAAGTACAGGTGGGCCGCGTCCTGGAACGTGAACAACAGCCTGGGAAGGCGGCGGACATCGTCTCAAGCTCACACATAGGGAATGTGCGGCACTTCAGAGGGGTAATGTGAGGGGTAACATGATGAGAATGCGATGAGAATGTGGTGAGAATGTGAAGAGAATGTGAGGAGAATGTGACGAGAATGTGAGGAGAATGTGAGGAGAATGTGAGGAGAATGTGAGGAGAATGTGAGGAGAATGTGGGGAGAATGTGGGGAGAATGCGGGGAGAATGCGTCATGTCATGGGCACCTGGGGGGAAGTTGCCTGACCAAACTGCCTGAACTTGAGGCAAGTCTTTGTATCAGAATGGAGAGCATGTTCAGGCAGGTGGCACGCCCTTCCCAGCAGGAATGTGTCTACAAGGTAGCATGGGACAAGCGCACTGCACTAAGGCACATTGGCACGATCATGCCTGCCAGGTGCAAGGGTGATCTTTGCCTTCAAGGCAGCTGTGATCCGGTTGGAATTTAGCATACGGTGCAATGAACGATCTGAAAGACACCTGGAACATTCGCCCATCATCAGCTCATTGGTGCACAGGTATCTATTGTCTGTGTTGGAGAATACAAACAAATATCATCCAAAGCCAAAGCACCTGCGAGCATCTGTCATGCAGAGAAGCAGTTCAAGTCTCCCAGTGCGGTTGATGACAACAGTTTGAACTTATTCAGACACTATGCTCCTGATGTGTCAGTTGCGGACCAGATGTGCCACAGGAGGCAAGAGCAGGCTGGAGCACAAGCCACAGCCTGAGTGCCAATTTTGCTGGGAGAATCTATGCATGCAATAATATGGACACGCTCAGTGCTTTGTTCTTATTCTAATGATGGCTAGTTTCCTCTGCTAATACGCCTTCAAACAGCAAGAAGGACCCTTGCACCTTGCAGGCGATGACAAGCATGTATGCAAACGTTTCCTTTCCCCTCATCTGCTCATTCTATCGGTTGCCATCTGTCTGCAATGAATAGAGGCAGTGGTTGTAGAATGCCAATAAGCTGAGTCCACCACACAACAATGTCCAGACAAGAAAACTTCATTCCACCTGGCTAAGACACAATGCAAGGCCTGGGATGGTATAGTCCCCAAACCCCAACAACAAACACATGTCTCGCAGAGGCGATCATAGAAACAGTGAACGCAAAGACAATACGTTATGAGGCTACAACGAGATTTTGAAAATTAAGGGCAGAGAAACAATTACTTAAGGGCTGTAACAACTGTGTTCTGGGCAGAAGGGCACATGTTGGGTAACGCGACAACAGGCTACCCAGGTTTACAACTCCAAACTACTTTGTTTACGTTGGCCTTCAAAAGAAAAAGCTGGTCCTTGCGTCATCTTGGTGACGAATGGCAGTGCTAGAGCTGCAGCTAATCGATGGCTTGAGTGCAAGCTTTAGCTCCTGGTGTTTGCACCAAACCATTGCCACATACTTCCTCTGTCCCATGTTAATTGTCGTCTATGGCTTTGGCCCATCATTTCTCCATCGCAAGGACTTTATTTTTCAGTGAAAATGCATGCAAAGTTATTTCCATGAGTTTGGAGAGTAAAATCGAAAATCAAGTCAAATCCTTGGGTATTGTGGATTTGGCAGCACTTTGTGGCAAGGGTGTTCTGAAGAGAAAACCTCGAATTCATAGCTAAAAATGACCCATACTGACCTTTCGCCCAATTCTCACAAAGGTCAAGCCTCACTTTTTCTTTGTGAAATTGGTAGCTAAGGGCTTGACCCGAATCTTTCCGATTCTGCCCTCCTTTTGTCCTTCAGATGCTGCTTTTGCAACAAAGTTTCTCTTCCACATAGGCGATTAATGTGGGACAGGGAAAGTAGGAGTTTATTCAGTATGCACACTGACTGGAACAGACAGCCTATCCAAACCAGCCGTACAGGGCAGTCACGGTAGATTGCATGCAGTGTGCTTGAATTGTGTACTTGATGTCACAAAAGAGACAAGAGAGCTCATCAAGCGATAGGCCACTCAACCACAGATGGTGCAACGGGTGCTCTCAAATCTCACCAATTCTCGCTTTAGGAGAGGATGACTAGGTTGGGCGCCTTTTCTATGATTCGTTCCGCCGATGGAAGCCCTTGCCCTGACACTTTTCAACGGAAGCTGAACCGGCGAATCACCCGCCCAATCCACACTATCCACCGCGTTTCCACGCGGAAAAACAAGGCACAATCTTCAACCCGGAAACAACCAGAGGCCAAATGCACTGCTGCGTTTCCTTACGTAAAGACAATGCATAATCCAAGACGCCGCGACGCAGAGACACCGACACTACAAGGCCCGCGGTCGGAGCCCTCCACCTTCTACACCCTCGAACGCATTGTCAATCGGTGCACAAGTCACTCAGAGAACGACAAACAAATATTGGGATCTACACACATCAACACACTGACAAAGCACTGCCCATGCACATCAACAGATGATCAAAACACTGGCCTTGCCCCAAAAGGCTCTGGCGGTCGCGATTCCCCGCGCATTGTTCCACCCCGCCCCACCTGGCCACACCCTGGTCGTCCATCCTGTCCAGCACGCGCCTCTCCCGCACAACGTACTCCAGCAGCCTGTTCCTCTGCACCAGGTGCTTGTCCACCACCTTGAGCGCGCACTCCATGCCGGAGGCCCTCCGTCGCGCGTGCACCACTGTGGAGGTGGACCCCGCGCCCAGGCGCCCCAGGATGTCGAAGTCGGAGATCTTCCAGTCCACGCGGGGCGCCGCGTAGGACGTCTGCCCCTCGCGGTCGCGCATGTCCGCTGACGGCGACATCGGCAAAGGCACGCGGGGAGGGGGAGCTTGGCTTGTCTGGGTGAGGCAGAGGTCGGGGAGGCAAGCGAGTGGGTGTTGGGAGAGGGAGAGTCGGCAGTGGGCCGTTTTTTTTACGACGGCCCAGGTGGCAAGGAAAAGCAGGCTTTTTCTTTTTTTGCCCAGCGTGGCCGGACATTGTCCGCAATGAGGCTGCCTTTTCAAAATCCTGCCGGACAACTTATCCGAATTGAGGTGCCTTGGGCCGAAATTCCCCGGACACCAGTTCGCAAGCGACATGCAAGTTTGCGAGTGATGGCCTGCAACAGGCCGTTGGCTCCTACAACAAGGTTCAATTAGCCCAAGAGTACTGCTCTACTGTGTTTCTTTCGCCCGCCTTCCACTGGAAGAGGAGAAACAACAGCAAACTCATGCCATTGCTTCCCCAAGGCGCTTTTTTCATTTGCAATCTGGGATACCAGTAGCCTGCGCGTCTTGCTTTGCTTACTTGAGGTATGCTGCAAGCACGGGAGGCAAGTTGCTGCCAAGGGAGCGGCGTCCACGCATCGCACTTGGTTTGCAAGATTACATAAGTTTGTGGGCAGCTTCAAAGCTATGTGCAAAGCTTTAGGTTACAGCATATAAGTAGTTGCTGTACAAGTGGACCGCAAAAATGTGCACTGCGCCGCAATGCGTCAACGTAGCCAGGCAGCAAACTTCCATTCGCAGTCTGTACTCTAGTGAACTGGCGCACTGCAATCATCAAGGCAATGATCTTTGCAAAATAGTAGCCGTTGGCACCCGCCATGGCGTTTTACTGCATACAATTGTGTGAAACTCGAGCCGCCCAAGGCAGAGTCGTTGTTTGGCGCTTGTCCGAATGGAGGCCAGGTTGCAGTTTTCCTGCTGGACATTGTCTGAATCAGGGCACTTTTCAGCGTTTTATGCCGGACAAATTGTCCTAAATAGGTACCCTTCTGGCTCCTCAAGACGGTCATTTGAAACCCAATTCGGACAAAATGTGGCAATTCGGACACAAACAAAAACCCTGGGCACGACACAGCCAGTCCGTATCCCCAGTTGGGGATTCTCGCACAACGCCCCACTGATATGGCAGTAGCTGGTCCGTGATCGACAAATAGTTGCGTTTTGAATGACCATAAAGGGTCACGCTCGTTCGCAATCAACTAACTTTCGTGCAAAATGTCGGTAAGGGGGTCACGGAAAACAACAGAACATGCATCCTCTTCTCTTTTTGTGCACTTAGAAATGGCGATGTTGCGCACAAATTTCCTTGTTTTCTGATGGCCAATCTTGAGCACAACTGTTTTGCCCAAAAAAACAGATAATCGCGATGTTGTGCACAAGTGCAGCCTTTCGGACCTTACCGACATTTTGCACGAAAGGTTGTTAATCTCTCCGTAACTATGTTCCCTCGGCTGCGTGTCCGAGCCCTTGGCCATGCCCGCCTCCGACATAGCCCCACCCCGATTTCAATTATTAAATAATTACATCCCCGCGTACATAAGTACAGAATATAGACTTAGGGAGCCCGGGTAGTGGCAGTCAGACGCGCGAAAATGGTTAGAAAACGAACTATTGTTATTGCCGTCGTGGCCCCTGCCGAGGACAAGGTGGGCACTGTCTTTGCGGGTGCTGGAGATGGTGGAAGACCGGTCGTTGTACGCAAATTCCATCCTGTAACCTAGTTGCTCCAACAAGCCGCAAAACGTAAAAGCAGCCGTAGAATTAGCCCCTTTTGCAAATTTGCGTTTTTGCGCGTAAAAATATAAACGCAAACGTAAAAACCAAGCCTGGAACCAGGCGTATCACCAAAGAAATATGTAATACATGTGGGATATCCATATCCAATTTGAACTAAGTTATGCAGGTCAAACTTCACATATTGAGGCGAGGAGGTAGCGATCAGTGGCACAGCCACGGTGGGGAATTCCCCGCTGTGAGCATTAAATGAACAAAAATGAACAAACAGACATTTTGATGATGTTTTTCGTCGGCGATGTGAAGTCGCTGGCTGTCCCAACTCAATAGTTTAATTTTTTACGTCCTCGGCTCTCTCGCTCACACCACGGAGTGGAATCATCGGTGAAGGTGATGTACTTGGGACCGGTTGACGTCCGGAGATGCGCGCAGCTGAAGAGATGCTACAGTACCAACCGTAGCAGAGATTTCTGGTGGAATAACTTGGATTTTCGAGTACATAATTGTGTACACTGCATTGTCAGGCAAAGTAAGAGCTCATGGCTATTCCATGCCTTTATATGTGAGGTTTCCCGCATTGCCTATATACGTATAAGTAACCTAAAGAATGCTGGCCATCATGCAGCAAGGCAAGCAGCATCCTGCTCTCAAAAACCAAGTGACGATAATCTCGCTGTTACTCGCGTCGTTGCTTCAGTCGATGAGCGACAGATGAATGACATATGCCGAACGAACTATGGATGCTGATGCGGCACCATAGAGGAGTCGGAATTTCGCATAGACAACTTTCTACACCATATTATTGTCCCTACTTATGAAGCATCATAATGGATAGTAACGGAAGGAAGCATGCTGAAAAATAGCTCTGTCCGTCTAGCCACATAATGACTACCGTTTCACTGCCAGTGGGTGGATCAATTCTGCTGAATGGCTAGCGATTGTTCTGTGTCAAAGAGATCCTTGTATTTGCAAGGGGCATCCTGAGCTGACCGCCACTACGACGTTATGGAAAATGTTCATGCACATCATTAATGATGCCCTCATGATATGTCCTCAGTAGCGATACCCTCAGATTGTCAATATTGACATTATGTCGGTCTCTTTGACGTGATTTGGTCCATGAGACGCCTATTAAATCGGGCTCATGTTTGCATGGGGCAACATGATTTTCTACGGAAAAATGCAATGCATCTCATATGCAAATGCCTTGCTTGGTCAGGGTGTTTTGTCCATAAGAAATCTAAAAATCGTAACTAATGATAAGAATCCCTGTAGGGAATCTGTAGCTTTTTTGGTTACACAAACTCACGGTGCCTTTATTTTCCTGTTTCACTTTGGTTTTCAAGTGTCTTTGGGCTTTCAGATGGCCAGGGTTGGTTGTCACGCCGTAAAAACTGAAGGTATCTATGTTTTCAAGCGCAAAAATAGTTTCTACTTTTTTACGATTAAAAACGCGTAAGAACACGTAAATACTTCCTTTTTCCCAAATTAAACAAAGCAATCTGTTTGCATGGTCGCATTTTTATCAACCTGTGGTCAGTTTTGCTTTAAAATTGGACCAGAGCACCACAAATTACGTTGATACACGCGTACTATTGGTCAAATGGTTGTACTCTGAATCCACAGGATTTTTCAGAAAAAACCAATTTTCTAAGGCTGGCGCCGCCCTTCCCCCAAAGAAAAAAAACTTGCCCCTCGACCAGGTGGCTTTGCGACTGTCGGTGCGCAGCGCAGAATGGATATCTGCAGCCGCCACTGTGGCTGCAGGTCGGAGGCGTTCCTCTCGAAGCACAGAGGGCGCGGAACCAAGTTTCGTACCGCTTGATCGTGGATCGCAACCGAGGATTCAACAGCCCATTCAGCGTTTCGAATTTGAATCGGAACCGGAGAAATCGCCGAACTTCACAACCACGACGTTTTGGAAGAGGCTACCACCATATGTGGGGTGGCCACAAGTTTTAGGCCACCATCAAAAGTTTGGAGAGATGCGATTGTCAATTCGCTGCACAACAGCCAAAAGACCGCTGGAAGCGGCTGTGCCTGGCACAGGCCACAAGGAACACTTGGAATGCCGTTCAAGCCGCTTCGAAAGACTCTGCTGCAAGAGATTTTGGATGCCGTCCTTGCGGAACGCAACAACACCATTACGCACCACCTTGGATCTCCTATGGAGCATCCATACCCTCCATTGGTGGCGTTTGATGGATTGATGCCTATTTGTTGGCAGGTGTTCCCTGCGCCAAACACGGCATTGATTGGAGATCGGCAACGAACGGAGAGCGTTCGGTGCACGCAGCAGTTCTGCGGCTAGCCTTTATAAACCAAGAGACCTGCTGGCAAAGGTAGATCCCAGATATGTCCTTGCGTCACCGTGGACGGTGGCAGGGATTTCCGCAAATCCGTGATGGCGAGATGGGCAGCCAAGCGCCATCCCTGCCGGTTGTCCATCTCGATGGGTGCCGATCGTTGCGATAGAGTCCGAGCGAGGTTGGCCGCTCTACACTCCCAGTGCCCTGAAATCTAGAAAGAGGGCCTGCACTTGCGTGTTGGGTCATCTCGGACCCGGGAACCTATCTTTTGGCGGGTGGGGGATGCCCTGGGAGGGACCAAATTCTGGACTGGAGTACTGCATATTCAATGCATTGCCAAATGCAGTGCACTCAATCGTTCCCTCTAATTTTTTGGTAGCGACTACGGCATGTATAGTAGTTGCTGCAATTGCATTTTCAAGAAAAGCATACAAGTGATCCATACAAATTCAGCCTCACAACAAAATATTTCATTCAAATTGGGAGAGAGGAAGTGCAGCGTGAATACAGCCCCATGTACATAAGGACAGTACATACAGAGTTGGGAAGTCTGGGGAGTTGCAGTCAGACACGCTGGAATGGGTAGAAAACGAACCTTCGTTCCATGTCGTTGTTGTCGTTGCCCACGGCGGGGTGGGCACTATGTTGCGGGTGTTGGAGATGGCGGAGGACTGGCCATTGTAGGCGACTTTCATCGTGTAACCTGGCTGTCCTAGCGAGCTGCCAAGATGTTAAAATGACCGCAAAAATAGCCCCCTTCCCAAAATTTGCGGCTTTGCTCATGAAAACGTAAATGTAAACGTAAAGAGCAAGCCTGAAGATGGACACATACACCATCCAAGTACTTGGATGCCACTAGTGGTCAGAAATGCAGTTGGAATATCGTGATTGGTTTGAATGATGCACTGATGAGAGCCAGTTCCTACAAGGCAAATGCTGCTGATATGTGGCCAACATACACAAATTTAGTCAGCT